CCTTCTCCACCCTGCCCGCCCCCACCCCCACCCCCCGCGGGTCACGGTGCGCTCTGACCTCATAGCGTTTTTGAGGAGCTCCGGGAGGATGTAATCGAGGGGCATCGGGATGTAAGGGAACCGGGCCGCCACGTGCCCGCTGATACGCACCCGGGGGGCATTTCCATACTTGTGTTCACACAGCCGTCTGCACACACCAGAGACCGGGGGGGTGGGGGGGAGAGAACAGGGGGGGAAAGAGAAGACGGGGCAAGCAAGCGAGAGCAACAGATGGTCAGTCAACGTGAAACAGCTTCAGAGAACAGCACCACCCACTCTGACCCATCCAGAAACTTACATCCAAGCCAATATCATTCACAAAAATCTTGCCTGGGGAGGCGATGGCCTAGTGGAATTATCACTGTACTGTTAACCCTGAGAGCCAGCTAGTGTTCTGGGAACCGGAGTTCGAACCCCGCCATGGCAGACGGTGGAATTTGAACTCAATAAAAAATATCTGGAATTAAGAATCTAATGATGACCATGAATCCATTGTTGATTGTCAGGGGAAAAACCCATCTGGTTCACTCATGTCCTTTAGGGAAGGAAACTGCCATCTTTACCTGGTCTGGCCTACATGTGACTCCAGACCCACAGCAATGTGGTTGACTCCGAACTGCCCTCTGGGCAATTACGGATGGACAATAAATGCTGGCCTGGCCAGCAATGCTCTCATCCCGTGAATGAATTTAAAAATCACTTAGGAGGCCTTTCAGCCCATCAAACTGACTCTCTATCTCAATGCACATGGCATACTGCAACTCAACCTGGTTAGACCCCATTGTGAGCAGACACTTTGTGCCTTTCGTGGTCAGTGTATTGAGTGTAGGAGTTGGGAAGGTCATCTTGCAGCTGTACAGGACTTTGGTTAGGTCACTTTTGGAATACTGTGTTCAATTCTGGTCTCCCTGCTGCAGGAAGGATGTTGTGAGACTCGAAAGGGTTCAGAAAAGATTTACAAGGACGTTACAGGGTTTGAATCTACAGGGAGAGGCCGAATGGGCTGCGGCTATTCTCCCTGGAGTGTCGGAGGCTGAGGGGCACGGATAGGGTGAATAGCTTTTCCCCAGGGTGGGGGGGGTCCAAAACCTTAAACCTATGCCCCTCTAGTTATGTTCTCAGGAGGGGAGTAGATAGATTAAGGTTATTTTCTTCCTAAATTAAGGAGCAGTCTGATTGAAGTCTTCAAGAATATTGACAGGAAAAGACAGGGTGGGATAAACTATTCCAACTAGTTCGGGATTTTCAAACTCGGAGGCATTGTCAGAGAATTAGGGTCAGAGTGTTCAGGAGAGACCATTCTACACACGACGGCTGGGACACGTTTGGAACTCGGATCCAGCATCCGCTCCCGCCCGTGCGGAAATCATTCATTTTCAATCTGAAATGGATTAAACCGTTGTCGGGGTTAAGGGGTACCGGCCAAGGACAGAGCTAGGCCGCAGATCTGCCACGTTCTCATCGAGGGACTGAAGGGCCAACTCCCGTTTCCTTGCCGCCGACCGTCGCACAAGCCCCACGGCTTCGAGAAATCGGGTCCTTTCCGGAATATTCTCAGGGTGCCGGCCTCCACAGCCTTCCTCGCCCCTCTCCTCCTCCCCCTCCTTAGAATAAAATCCTAGCTCTCCGACCAAGCCTGGGAATGTTCAAACATCCTGCCTGCTACCGCCATCTCCCCACCGTGCTGCCCCACCCCCCCCTCCTTTTCTTACACGAGTCTAAAAAGAAAATTCCCCTCTGGGGTGCCTCAATCCTCCGACCATTTCCCCCGTGGGTTGGCTGGTTACAGATCCCGAACGCCCACCTCCCTTGGCGGTCATTTTGTCCCATCCACGGGTCAGTGGGCGTCCGTTTCCCCCCAACCCCACCCCCAAACGCAGCCGTGCACACGTGCACACAGGCCCCTCCCGGTGAGGGGGGCAGTTAAGAGTCGATCCCCACAAGGGACGGGGGCCTGGAGTCACGCGTAGGCCCGGCCTGGGTCAATGAGGGCACAGTTCCTTCGACGCTAGCCGATCCAAGATAGCGGTTTTTAAAAAAAAAACGAGGCGGCGGGGCGGTGACGCCAGGAGGGCCGGTCACCGACTGCCCCCCCACTCCTGACTGCGGTTCGAAACGCACTCTTCCCCCCCCCCCCCCACCACCAACCACTTTGGCTCAGAGTCCAAATGGTACCCAGTGGCACAGACCCGTGATGTTGATTCGGGAGATTCTTTTTTCAGGGAAGGAAATCTGCCCAGTCTTCACCCAGTCCGGCTCTCCGTGTAACTCCAAACCACCCCCCCCACCTCCCTGACGCCAGCCCTGCCAAGGGGGGGTAGGGGTGGAGGTAGGGGTAGGGGCAGGGAAAGGGCGGGGGTTGCGGGGAGACGTTGGTTACCTGGCGAAATCCACCCACTTCTCGATGATCTTCTTAGGCGACAGACGGGTACAGATGATGCCAACGAAATCGGGCTGGAAGGGAACAGCGAGGGGAGGGGTGGTGGGGATGAGGGTTACATCGTGAGTCGTTGTCTCGAGATGCCTGGTTTCCCCCCAACGTAGACATTCAGACGCAAACCCCTTCCCCTCCAACAACATGCTTCCGCAGCCGCTCAGCAGGGGGGAGTCGGAGAGGTGGCTATTTGACAACAGGAGGCCTCGCCACACGCAGATGCTCTGTGGTGGAAGGGGTTGCAGGGCTAGGCAGACCACAAGTGGGAAATCAGAGCCTTATTGCGCCTCTCTGTCCCTTGTCAATTAGAGCCAATGTTTGCTGCCCATCGGAAGCGCTTGGGGTCCATTGGGATGGAGTTGAGCGGGAGTGAAAGGGGAAAAAGGGTTTGGGTTCAATGGAATTGTGTAGAGCAGGAGAGAACAAAAAGGGGCTTGGGGTCCATTGGGATGGAGTAGTGCGGGAGAGAACGGGAAGGGGCTTGGGGTCCATTGGGATTGAAAAGAGCTGGAGTGAACAAGGCGGGGTTTGGGTCTATTGGGATTATGCAGAGCAGGAGTGAACGGGAAGGGGTTTGCAATCCGGGGGGATGTTGCAGAGCGGGAGTGAATGGGGAAGGGGTTTGGGGTCCGTGGGGACGGTGTAGTTCAGGATTGAACAGGGGAGGGGTTTGGGGCCCATTGGGACTGTGCAGAGCGGGAGCGAACAGGGAAGGGGTTTGGGGTCCGTGGGGACGGTGTGGAGTGGGAGTGAACGGGAAGGGGTTTGGGGTCCATGGGGACGGTGCAGAGCGGCGCCACCGTTCTCCCTCCGAACCCTTCAGCCCTGGCGCCGAACCTCACCCGGTCCTCGTGGAGCATGAGGTGGTGAGTAGCCAACATCCGCATGCCCAGCCTTGAGGTGAGGGTCTTGTCCAGAAAGTAACGAATCACGGCCTCATCCTAAACATGTAAAAGCCCAAAATCCAGACGGTGAATTCCACAGCAAGTAACGTATGCAGGGTTTTATCATAAATCAATCGTTTAGAGCGAACAACAGTTTCCACACTTCCCTTATGGCAGCCCCAGCACTGGGGAATTACCCAGGGCCTTTTCTCCCCACCTCACCGATTTTAAAACAAAAAATAACTACAGAAAAACAAAACAAAAGTGCCCTTAACGCAACCAACAACTCGGGAAAATGTAACCCGAGCAAAAGCAAGGCACAGAGTCAGGGGCAAGAGGATATCTGCCAGTGCCCCGTGGAGCCCACCTACCACGTGTGGCATAATGACCAACAAAAGAAACTCGAGAAAACAGAGAAAAAAAAAGATAATGGGGGTGGGGGTTTACGAAGGGAGGGGCTGAATCGAAAGAGGAAGATTGAGAGAGAAAAGGAGGGAGAGGGAGAGAGAAAGAGAGAGAGAGGGAGAGAGAAAGAGAAAAAGAAAGAGAGAGAGGGAGAGAGAAAAAGAGAGAGAGAGAGATCCAAGATGAGTACAGAAAGGCCCAGAGCACTCCAGGCCTGGTGGAGGACAATCGTTGGCACCACGATGCCACGGAGGGTGGTGGGGAAGCGTAAAAGAGACAGGGACGACGACCCCTCTCTCTTCGGCCCG